AGGAAACATTTAGTGAGTCGAGATTTGAATCAAAACTTGAGCACGAATTCTCTTCAAGCATTAGTTTTCTAACCTATTACTCTTGAAGATTTGGGATCTCCGAGCCGTCTAGGTGTTGGATGAGAACTCAAACAAGTTTGTGAATGTTTGGAGGTCACCTAAATACCTAATGCTAGTAGAGTGAGCTCATACTTGTGTGGCGGGGCTCACGGAGATGAATGTGAGACTTTGTGTCGTTGAGGGTACTTTGTTTTCTTCACACCTCTCCAACAGAGATTAGCGCCCCAAGAAAATGAATGGCATGTTACATCTTTGCCTCCGTGTCTTTGGGTTTTTTCCCACATTGTGCTTGAATAATTAGCCTGGTAGTTATTCTTCATATAGAGTGGTATACTTAGCTGCATATCTAGAGAACTTACTTTATTAGCATTTTGCTAAATTTGCTAAGATTAAAAAAAATAGTTGCCAACTCACCCTGGAAATCTTTGATCCTTCAACTTTTGGATATCAACTTTGTTGAGAGATATTTAAGTGAGACACGAAGCTAGCTCTTGAACATGACTTCTTTCTGTTCATGGTTTTATGAAATAAAAATCTACCAATGTTACTGATACATGGGTTCTCCTCGCCCGTCCATCCAACCATTTTTATTTTCTCTTTCTCTTTCCCTCACCCATAACCTCTTTCCCTCTCCCCGCTGCAACCTCTCCATCGGGCAATCCCTGCCACCAAACAGGATATTCTCCTCGATTTCTTCTAGCGGCGAGGTGACAACTTTTAACTTGCTTGGATTTTATAGTAGCATTATTATGTTCTTGCTGCAAGCAAAAATCTAATCGTTGTTGCATGGCGGTGGAGGTTCAAGTAGCCACGTGTAATTTCTGAAAAATTGGAGAGTGGCAAAACATGATAGAGATGTGAACTCTCCAGATGAGAGAGGGTTGGCTTTCGGTAGCAACCAACACGACAATGAAGCAAAGAACATATCGAGCAAGACCATGTTTTACTCGAGATAGAAAGTGTACTTTCATGAGCCTAGTGGTGAGCTGAAAGTGTACTTTCTATCTAGAGTTAATTTTCACTTTTTACCCCTATTTTTGTCATTTTTGACAAGTATTACCCAATTTGAGATATTTTCATCCGTTATACTCCATTTAAAAAAAATTATACCCTATTTTTAGCACATTTGGTCAAGCTAGTCTACTTGTCAGTGCACACGTGCCACCATAGTGATGGGTTTTCTTTAGCACCGGTTTCTCCACCAACAGGGCATCTGTCCTCAAGTACTAGTTGGTGCAATAGCTTGGCATGTCGATGAAGAAGACAAAACCCAAAGGTGCGATGATGTTGGAAAACAAAAAGAAAGCAGACTAATATGACAAGACGGCGGAATGTGCCACGGGTAGAACTTGATGGGGTGCAATCGACCTTTTAGCTAAGGCCCTCATCATATGTTGCTGCGATGAAATTCCATCACGAATGCACGTACACGTCGGCCAAGATGACTTCCCAAACAAGATGACCGATTCTTGCAAAATGCCCTAGTATGTGAGGTGAGCCAACCAATTGCTTCTTGGCGAAGTACACACACATACACATATAACACAAATCGTTTTTTTACGGCAATGAGCACACGCAAGTCCAATTCAAACAAGACAACACGGTTAATTCCAACATGCCTGAACCTCTGGGCTCCACCAATTAGCTGAAGGTCTCCATGGTTCCTCTATATCATAGTTTGTCCGCGGCACTACTAAGCCGACTATGTACCGCAGGACATGAACATATTGCGGGTCTAGAGGTGAAACATAAAAAAAAAATTGTAGCACAAGTTTGGTTAAATAGGGTAAAACGGATAAAGGTTGCTTAAATGAGGTAACCCAATCGAAAATGACAAAAACAAGGGTAAAACTTGAATGAACTCTTTTACCTAATAGTAAATGTGC